CATAATATAGGTCAATGGCCATTGTACAAGTCAAAGGTCAATCACTGAGGACATACCTTCTTGAATTCTGTTAGATTTCTTCTTTTCAATCTCACCTCTGGTTTCGTCAATTTCACATTTTGTGACGTTAATGATCTTGGCAAGGTCTCTGTATGACTGTCGTTTGTTAGACAAGATTTCTAAAATCAAAAATCAAAAATGGATATTCTATATTTTAAGTTATTCTAAAAAAAGAAACATAATGGCATCTCTGAAACATTACATGAAACATCTGAGATTTAGGTTATTTGGTTGCTAGGTAACCATATACACACAGTAGTGCCAATCATCAAGAATATATTAATTTTATGCAAGCTACAATTTAATTGTAAGGTGTGATGGAAATTTACAAAATGTCAAATTTGTAAAATATAATTTTTTTCTAAATAATCATAACAAAACTGGAGACATTTAGATTTCTACGGGATTGTAAAATTTGTGAAAAACTGCAGCAATGAACTCACAACCAATTGACTATAAATCACCCCCCCCCCCCTCGTTATATCATAGAATCTATGCTCAGTATCGTAGCAAGTAAAGAACTCAAACTCAGAAGTCTTTTAACAGTCTCTGGAAAAGGTATAATAAATTTATTTTATTTTATTTTTCCACTTGCAAGTAATTTTCCACTAGTGGTGAACCAACAAAAATAAAACTGAATTGTATTTAAGGCACAACAAATATATTCAAATTATATCAATTCCCAAATTCTACTTTCGGTAAACATAAATTTCAACTAATATTTGAGAGGCTTACAATTCAATGCAAGGCCTATTAGAATCTAGGTGAGGCTGGTCTGCTGGGAAAATTAATTGTTTTCTACTTGCACTCTGATCAACATTAACATTAACATATCTTTATTTATGTTATCACCCCCCAAGTTTATAAGAGTCTACCCTTTATATGACCATCCCTGATACCTTGAAATGTACCTTTATTTTCCATAAGTATCCGGTTTATTTCAGAACCTTTGTTTCGCTTGAA